TATATTTTTCGTGAAGTTTTAAATGCTAAAGAAATCAATGTCGTCTTTGGTATTGTTATTTAATGATATCCTCGCTCAAAATAACGGTCATTATTATTGTCATAATAATAATATTGTTTTCTAATGTCTTTCATACTCTTTGAAAATTAACTCAAATATACTATTGAGATCTAAAATGACTTGTATAGTTAGAATAAAATAGCATTTTAAATGCAAGAAAAGCTTATACATTTAGAAGACATTTGAAAGATACTGACAGTTTGTGTTAAAACTAAAATCAAGATTAAAAAATAAAGAATGGCAACAAACATGAAAAAGACTGAAACCCCTCCCAGAAACAACCATGTTTTTCAGGAAGATTAATCTTTTTCCACCCCATCTCATCTGAAATTGAAGTTTTACACTCTTACTAACGGCAGTCTTCATGCAGTTCATTCTCCGTGCTTAAATTTTAAAGCAGAACAGGCAATGTGATCTTGGATAAAGTGTTAGAGGTTCACATAGTTGTTTCATTTCCTTGTCCTTTACTCTAATTTCATCTCAACTTTTGCACGTAAGAATAAGAGGCGTAATTTCTGCACCGGAGAATATGATTTTTCATAAAATCCTGCACTTTATTGAAAATATGCACTAAGCCTTAGGTTGTTTATACTTTGTCATAGAAGTCATATTATTTGATAGATTTTCTACAGTTTTATCTCTTTTGCCTTCATTCTAAATTTCTAATACAATTGTATACTGCAGGAGGAGGTGTTTGCTGCTTTCGATATTACTATCATGGCACGGCCTTTTGAAAACGTTGATATGTTGAACGACGTGAAAAAGTTAAAGGCAAAAAGCAAACACTCAGAAGATAATAATGGATTGGCGCAGCTCAAACAAATCATGGAGAATAAAGACACGGACCCCAACTACAAGCACATGTTGCGCCTTATCATGAGCCGGGCTGAATCGTACGAACAGCCCAACGCTCCAAATAACTTCATTGATGATGACAAAAGTGATCCCGCGTGGCACAATGACTCGAGAAACAGACTTCTGTGGGTCCCACATGGAAAGCACGATATGAAACAGGAAGGCACGAGCGGCTCAAAATTGAGGCATTATTCAGGCCGCCACAAACACCGCACAAAGACTAAAAGCCTTGTTGAAATCGATCGAGCAAAGAAAAATGTGAATCCAGTAGGGTATTATGTGGATAGTGTGCCTTTTTACTCAGAACCTGATCGAAAAAGTAGTCGGTGCACAAAAATGAAGAATATGCGTTCTGGACGAGCTCGACAGGTTAGTAAATCCCGCAAAAGGAAAAATGTGGTTGAAGAAGACAGTGAGGAGATGAAGCCCTTTGTTCGGGTAAAGAGGGAAAAGATGGATTGCAAATGTGCGCATAAAGTGAAACCAGGTAAAAAGGATAAAGCGGGCCGGGCAGGAAAATTGAAGCAAGGGCATAATGGACATTTTGCAAGTCTAAAGGCTGAGGACTGCAATGTGAAAGCTCGATCCAGTAGGAAACGAAAGACTTTGGAAATTCTGAACTACACCGTGCCTTCAAAGAGGTTTCGTACAAGCGTAAGTGTTGTTCTTTTTTTTTTTTTTCCTCGAGCAGAATTTTAGTCGATTTTTTGTGTGTTTTTACATTTTTTGTCAATAATTGTTATTTCTTATCATGCCATTATTTATAAAGATGGAAGAGAACACCAATTTCCGTCACATTGATGCTTCCACAAGTGCGTCTGATGGGTTCCGAGAGCAAGTCATAGATGTGCTGGGGAAAACTTTTGATAAAAAGGAGTTGAAAAGGCTTCGAGAAGCGTTCGAAGATGGGTCATATTATAATTATTATCCGGGTCAGTTGAACTATGTTACCTGGACTCGGATATGGGTAGTGTATTGGGTGTGGAGATATGAGCGTCCGACTCGTCAATAGTTTAGAAATCTTGAATATTTTAGGCTAAAATGCCACACCGGACACTCATACCCACACCAGTGTCGACACAACATGACACAGGTATTCTTCTTAAATAGAAGAGTCCGGGTAACATAGCAGTTGAAAAGCTCAACTTTTATTTTCTCTCTCTTTATTGTTATATTTTCATGATAATATTGTGAAGATTGGTCATAAGTATCATCTTTTTATGTGTCGTGTTTGTTTATGATGGAAACCAAATTATTCCAAATTTTGTCATTCGACTCTTTCTTAGCTTTTGCCAACTGTAATCTGCTTCACTAGTTTTGCAGTAAGTTACTATTTTTTGTAAGTGGCTAAGTTTTATATTCCCCATGCTTCAACTCATTCAATAAAGTGCAGATATTGAGAGAAAACTCGAAAGGTCCCAACACAAGCAGAGGAAATCTGTAGAATTTCAGATCTGGTTTTTGAGATATTTTTTATTTCATTCAATCTGGAAAATCGTTCATGCAGTACATTTATAGCTGTCACTTTCATGCATAAGGCAACACGACACCGTTTTAGAAGGAACTTACAATCACCTAAAACGCACCTATATTATTTATATACAACGCACTCACGACTTTATCCTCTAAAATAGAAGGAAGCAGTTATAACTGCTAACACTACTAAACAGCAGCACCACACGTATGTCAACACCCCCTCCTCAAGTTGGAGTGTGGAGAAGATCGCAAACACCCAACTTGACCAACAGCTTGTGAAAGATCCCAGGTGGTAAGAGCTTAGTGAAGAAATCAGCAACCTGCTGAGATGAATGAACATAGGCAGGAGCAATGAAACCCTCCTTGTACTTGTCACGAACAATATGACAATCGATCTCAAGGTGCTTTGTGCGTTCATGAAACACCGGGTTGGCCGTGATGTGCATAGCAGCACGATTATCACACCAAAGAGTGATAGGTCGAGGTACGTGAATCTGAAATTCCTTTGCCAGGGAGAATAGCCATTGTAGTTCACACACAGTGGTCCCCATGGCTCTGTATTCGGCTTCTGCCGACGACCTAGCCACTGTGACTTGCTTCTTACTCTTCCATGAGACAAGACTATTGCCCAAGAATATACAGTAGCCTGTGACTGACCTTCTAGTATCTTTACAAGTAGCCCAATCAGCATCACAAAAGGCATTCAAATCATAGTTGAGTTGTGAAGGAAAGAATAAACCATGAGTTGAAGTTCCTTTGAGATACTTCAGCACTGAGATGGCAGCAGTCCAATGTGCAGTGAAAGGGTTGTTAACAAATTGGCTAAGCTGTTGAACAGCATAGCTAACATCTGGTCTGGTCATGTTGAGGTACAACAGCCTTCCTATGAGTCTCCTATACTTCTCAGGTTCTTGCAAAGCTTCACCATCAAAATCTGTCAATCTCAAACCTTGTGGTAGTGGGGTACTAGGTTCTTTACAGTCTGCTAGGCCCATATCCTCCAAAATATCCACAATGTATTTCCTTTAGCATAAGTGTATTCCTTGTTCCTTCCTTGTATCTTCTATTCCCAGAAAATATCTTGCAATACCAAGGTCCTTAATGGTGAATAGCTTATCCAAGTGATTTTTCAGAGCTGCTACTTTCTCATGATCAGACCCCATGAGTAACACATCATCCACATAGACTAACATGGCCATGAAGAGTCCATTTTCATAGTGAGTGAATAAGCAATGATCCTGACATGATTGCTGCAATCCAAACTCTATGAGTCTTTTAGACAGCTCACAATTCCATTCCCTAGAGGCCTGCTTTAATCCATATAGGCTCTTCACTAGCTTACACACTTGTCCTTGCCTCCCCTTTGCATATCCCTGTGGAATCTTCATATAAACTTCCTCAGATAAATGGCCATGTAAGAAAGCATTATTTACATCAAGTTGCCATATTTTCCATCCTTGCATTGCAGCCATTGCCATGAACATCCTCACTGTGACCAACTTAGCTACAGGAGAGAATACATCAAAATAATCAACCCCCTCCACTTGTGTGAAACCCTTGGCTACCAGTCTGGCTTTGAGCCTCTCAATTGTTCCATCAGCCTTTCTTTTAATTTTGTAGACCCACTTTGAGCCTATTGCCCTTTTACCAGGTGGTAAATAAGTCAACTCCCAAGTGTTGTTATCTTCTAAGGCTTTCAATTCCAATTCCATTGCATGTACCCAGTCTTTGTCTCTCTTAGCTTGTTCATAGTGGGTTGGTTCCTGCCCCTCTTCCAAGTTAACAGCAAAAGCCACATCATCTGTACAACAAGCATAATCCCTCATCCATGTTGGCTTTCTCCTAATCCTCCCATTGTGTTGTTGAGGTTTAGCAGTCTCAGCATGTGTATTGGCTTGCTGAAGTTCAGTTGTCTCAGTCTCAAGCTGTACATTTGCTTGATTTATCTCATCATCATCATTATATTCATTGTTGTCTGATCCCTTACTTATGGGTAAGGGTGTCTGATGATCATCCACCATGTTGCTTTCTTTGTATGGAAATGTTTCAGTGATAAATGTCACATCCCTGGACACAAAAATTCTTTCATCCTCAACATCCAGCAAGATGTATCCTTTGCATCCTTTAGCATACCCAATGAAAATGCATTTAAGAGACCTTGTCTCTAACTTCCCTTTCTTTGGATTGGTGTTCACAGCATACACCAAACATCCAAATGGTTTGAGGCTTTTGTAATCAGGTGCCTCTCTGTACACCCTTTCAAATGGAGTTTCCCAGTTCAAGGCTACACTAGGCAATCTATTTATAATGTGAGCTGCTGCAAGTACTGCATATGTCCAATATTTAAGATCCATTCCTGATTGGAACACCAATCCTCTTGCAATCTCAAGTACCTGTTTGTGCTTCCTCTCTACCACACCATTTTGCTGTGGTGTATAAGCACATGTCCTTTGATGTATAATTCCCAGCTCCTGAAACAATGTTTGACATTCATGTCCCAAGAACTCCTGTCCATTGTCAGTTCTCACCTGCTTTACCTTCTTGTTGAATTGTGTGTGGATCATTTTCAAGAAATTTCTGAGTGATGACACTATTTCCCCTTTAGTGACCATAAGAAATATCCACACACCTCTGCTATAGTCATCCACAACTGTTAAGAAGTAGGGAGTTTTAGTCACCGAATCTTCTTTGCAAGGACCCCAAATATCCACATGCAATAGATCAAAGCACTCCTTTGTTTGTATGGTACTTGTAGGAAATGGTAATCTGTGTTGCTTGGATTTGAAGCAAATTTCACATTTTTTCAAAGTTGTTTCTCCTTTATCATCACAAAGTCCTTTGAGTGCAGGTATCTTTCTTAGAACCCCAAAAGATGCATGTCCAAGATTTCTGTGCCATTCTTCCAATGATGTTTTACAGGCCATTCCATATTCATTTGTAAAGTCAGCTAAATTCAGTATATATAGTTTATCTTTCAATCTGCCATTCCCAACCACCTTTCCATTCAACTCATTTTGCAAGTAGCAGCCAGTAGAGGTAAAGTGACACTTCAAATGTGAGCTAAGGCAGACTTGACTAACTGATAGAAGGTTATATTGAAAAGATGGGACAAATAGAACTTCTTGCAGTATCAAATCATCTGACAGTTTTACTTCTCCAACCTGAGTAACCATCTTGGTTGTCCCATCTGGCATATAAACTGCAATTGGTGTCCTTACATTAGACAAATTTCTCATCAAAGCTTTGTTGATACACATGTGTCTGCTAGCTCCTGTATCAATCACCCACAGCTTCCAACCAACTCCATCAAAGCTAGATAAGGCATAATGCCTCTCTTCCCTTTCTTCATTTACTGCAAAGTTCACATAGTGGTCATCCTCTTTGTGGGGCCTTCCCAGCAGCTTGGCCACCTCTTGAGCTATGGCTGAAATATCCGGTATTGCACCAACACTGTTGGTTTGAACCTTAGAACCACCATCTGCTTGAACTAAATTCACCACTCCTTTCCCTCTCCTTTCCTTCACCTCGGTGAACCAATCAGGATATCCATGAATCTTAAAGCATGTGGATTTCTCATGGCCATTTCTCCCACAGTGTTCACATGTTAGCTTAGCTTTCTCTTCCTTGGAGAGCCTTGGCCCCTCTCTTCCAACTCTCTGATATCCAAGTTGTGGTTTATTATTGTGCTCTTTTGTTGTTCCTGAGAATCTTACTGCCATTGCCATAGTGGACCCTATATCACCAACATTGGACTGTACAGCTCTCTGTCTCTCTGCAGATAGGATCATAGAATAGGCCTTATTCACTGTAGGCAATGGATCCATGAGCAGCATCTGATTTTTCACATGTTCATAACTGTCATTCAACCCCATTAAAAACTGCATGAGTTTTGTTTGCATATTCTGCTCCATGACCTTCTTCCCCATTTCACAGTTGCAGGCTAATTGTGGCATCAAATACCCTAACTCATCCCACATTTGCTTAAGCCTATTGAAGTACATCATAACCGATTCATTTCCCTGTTTCAGGCTGCTAATATCTCTTTGCAGCTGGTATATCAATGGACCGTTACTTTCACCAAAACGTTGCCCAATTTCATCCCATAGATCCTTAGCCGATTCAGCATACATGAATGCACCTACTATTTGCTTAGACAGTGAATTCAAAATCCATGATAGGACCATCCAATCAACTTTTCTCCATTTCTCATAGTTAGCATCGTTCAAATCCGGCATAATCAAAGTTCCATCTATGAACCCTAGCTTAGTTTTTGCACCAAGCGCAATCATCATCGACCTTTTCCAAGCCAAAAAATTCGTTCCATCAAGGGGATGCGAGACTAACTGCATACCTGGAGAATCGGAGCTACTCAAAAAAAGAGGATTGTCTTCCTTGTTCTCCGAGCTTGCGCCGGCTCTCGCATTGAGCAGCGGCCACGCCTCTGGATTCCGGTAGGTCGCCATTGAAATTCAGCTCGAGGATCGTCTCAAGCTCTGGATACCATGTAGAATTTCAGATCTAGTTTTTGAGATATTTTCATTTCATTCAATTCGGAAAATCGTTCATGCAGTACATTTATAGCTGTCACTTTCATGCATAAGGCAACACGACACCGTTTGAGAAGGAACTTGCAATCACCTAAAACGCACCTATATTATTTATATACAACGCACTCACGACTTTATCTTCTAAAATGGAAGGAAGCAGTTATAACTGCTAACACTACTAAACAGCAGCACCACACGTATGTCAACACGAGGTATAGGCGACGGGGCTGGAACGTCGCCGTTGAGTGTGTGCGTGGTCGGCGACGAAGAGAATCCGACGAGAGTGAGGGGGCAGCGATATGTATTTGTTGTGTATGTATTGTTGTGTGTGTGTGTGTGTGTGTGA